GGGCCCAGGACCCTCCTCCCACACCCCGGTGCTTTCAGGGGGATCCCTCTGAGGCCGCATGGAGGCCAGCTCCCAAGATAACACTGGCCGGTGGCGCCGGGCCAGGAAAATCAAACATCACAGTTGCTAACGAAGGGAAGCGTCTGCACCATTCCCCAGCCCCCACTGCCTCTGAAGGGAGTGCCGGCCCACTCGGGGCGACCAGTGACACAGCCCAAGTGACGCCTAAGGAATCTGCCTGAGGACTGCCTGGCCCCGGCCCTGACTGGCCCAGCTGGATCATGCACCTGAGACCGGGACCAGGATTGGGAGGGTGTGACTGGACGAGACGGAAATGACTGCTCATCTCGTTTTCTTCTTTCTCCTGCCTTCTTGCCTTCTCTCTGTCAGGGTAGACTGTAGCTGTGACCAGACACAGCCGCCTGACCCCGAACAGGCAGGAGGAGTTCTGCCAGAGAAGCACAGGCACGGATGGACAGCTCCGCATGCCGGGGACAGAGCCGGGGAGCAGAGGCTGGGCTGGTGAGCTGGCCTGGCTGTGCATGGGGTGCAGGTCTGGGCTTCTTGGCCCCCAGAAGACCCGTAGCTCCCTTGGCTGGGGCTGCCATGCCTGTGTGCCCTGTGGCCACTTACCATCTGTCACCTTCTTCTCTGGGCCCTAGCAGATTCCAACCTGTCTTATGAAGTTCTGGTCTATGTCATTTGCTGTACAAACCCTCCCTGAACGCTGAGGCTGCACGCACAGCTCCCTCCCGAGTCCCTGCCCATTTAGCACACATGTCTCTGGGTCTCCCTCTGTGCTGGACAGAGGCAGGGTCCCACCTGCCTTTGCCTCAGTTTGAGAGCCCATTCATACTGAGTACCCAGTAAATCCCGTTGGCCCCTAGATTGCTTTAAACATAGATTTCCATACATCTGTCTTCTAATTCATTCTGTTTATGGTGCCAAGGCTGGCTGCACATGACCTATATGTGAATAGGCAAGAAGGCCTGCCTAACGGGCAAAACTTGGGAGTACATACCAATGGAGAGGCCACCTTTAGGGGTTCAGAGAACATAGAATGGGGAGCACTCTGTAGAGTCAGACAACTGGGGTCACATTCCAGCTTCAGCACCAAGAGCTGAACACACACACACACACACACACACACACACACACACACACAGTGGTTATTACTGTCACATTGGTCCCAGTCGGAGCCATTGTTCTGTGTTAGAGCTCAGATGCAGGACGCGGAGGAAATTGTCTGGATTATTGAGGGCAGAGCCCAGCTGCCAAGGGCAAGGGCTGCTCTTCAGGCACAGGGAGTGGGGGTGGCTGCTATCTACCTAGTGCTACCACCAGATTGCAGGGCTGCAAGGCCCCCAGTTTACAGAATAATTTCAGTTTTGGTAAATTTCATTAAGTGCAACGGCTCTTCTGAATGGAGGCATGTGTGCCTTTCACGTTTTCCTTGCAGTTACACCAACTTTTCTTTAAAGTAATGAGCTGTTTTCTTTTTCCCCTGTAAACATGAGGCTGACATCAGAGAACAAGTTTTGATCCTGGTTTTAAAAACTATCTGGGTGGTTTAGACATGATGGGAATCCCAGGCAGTTGGCTGGCTCTCTTTGCTCTTTTTCACTGAGAAGTATTTCTTCAATGAGCCCCCATCTCAGGGGCAAGATGCACTTTGGATTAGTGAAAGTTTAGAAACATTTAGGTGATTATGGTAAATAATTCACGCAAATCCCAACAACTGCAACTAATTCTTTTGTGTGTGCTGGACGAAGAGCCTAAACTGGCCCCCTTTGCTGGATTGGCTTCCCAGTCCTCTTAGCACCATCTAGTGGTAGCCTCTCGCTAAATAGCAGGATTCGCTCCTATGGTCTCTTCTCCATGAGGAAATGCAATTCACCTAGAAGCCTTTTAACCCTCGGTTCCTTTTGTGTTTCAGTCTCCAGGTTCAGTCACCACAGTGGGGGGTGCCTGGGTAGCTCAGCTGGTTGAGTCTCTGCTCTCAGCACTGAGCCCACTTTGGATCCTCTGTCGTCGTCCTCCTCTCTCTCTCTGCCCCTCTTCCGGTTGTGAGCTCTCTCTCTGTCTCTAAAAAATAAGCATTAAAAAAAAACACAACAAAATAAACAACCCAGCATGGTGAACTGGATTCTCTTTTGTTGCTGATAGGAGTGAGCCATGGCGGGCGGCCGGGGGGTGGGGGGGTGGCTGTACCACAGTGGTCGGCGTCTCTGCATCTGAGTCTGGTTGTGACTTACTAGCAGTGTGATCACTAGGAAGTTACTTAACTTCTCCCAGCCTCAGTTTTCTCAGCTGCAAAATGGCTCTGATAACAGGAACTGCCCATAGAATTATCCCTTAGACACAAGGAAATTATGCCCCTAAAGGGGCTCCAGACACTGCCTGGCCCACAGCGAATGATCACTACGTGCAGCTAACAGTAGCACGGTTTATTTCCCATTACCCTGCACCTGCAGATTCTACCTGCAGACGCAGGCTCTTGTGTGAATGGCTGCACCGTGTGGTTTGACCGAGCAAACACTTTGAAGATACTACCTTAGAAGTGATAACATTTTAAGATGCATCTTGAAAAGACCAAAATTAAGCTGCTTTTTTTTTTTGTCAAATTCTAATCAAGAAGTAGGGAATGTAGACTCAGTAGAGCTCTTTGGGAGGAAAAGTAAGGGTTTTTTTAAAAAATATTTTTATTTATTTCTAGGAGAGAGAGAGAGAGTGTGTGAGCAGGGGAGGGTCAGAGAGAGAGGGAGACACAGACTCTGAAACAGGCTCCAGGCTCTGAGCTGGCAGTCAGCACAGAGCCCGACGCGGGGCTCGAACCCACGAACCGCGAGATCATGACCTAAGCGAAAGTCAGACGCTTAACCGACTAAGCCACTCAGGCGCCCCGGAAAAGTGAAAGTTTCAATAACCCCTTACTTTGAGGAGAAACTTGGAAGAAATTGTCTTTCAGGTGTGAGTTAGAAGCAGTTGCTTTTGCATTGAAAAGCGTGCTTGTGTGATGGCTTAGGACTTCTATTTTGATTTCATTAGGCACAGCTGGGAAAGGAAAACTGATCCTTTATGTTCATCCCTGATCTGTGTGTGCTGCAGATTTTCTCCTGGTTAAGGTCTGTTCTAGAAGCATGCCTATTTCTTTTTAAAGAGAGAGAAACAGTGTTCTGTGCATTTTAGGCAAATGTAGATGAAGGCAAACGTGCTTTTTGAAGCAAATAGTGTCCATGTTTTGCTGAGTTTAGGGAAACACAAAGTTGAGCCCTGTCGTCCAGCTGGGATCTTTGGAAATACAGCTGACCCTGGAGCAAGACCGGTTTGAACCGCACAGGCCCACTGAGGCGAGGAGTTTGTTTTGATAAATGTGGTACAGCCCATATATGTATTTTGTCTTCCCTCTGCTTTTCTTAATAACATTTGCTGATCTCCAGCTTTCTCTGCGGTAGCAGGACAGCATATAATAACACGTCACATAGAAAACTGGTTAATCGGCTATGTTACCGGCAAGGCTCCCAGTCAATAGCAGGCTATTAGTAGTTCAGTGTTGGGGGAGTCAAAATTATATATGGATTTTCAACTGTGCATGAGTTGGGGCCCTGAAGCCCCACTTTGTTCAAGGGCCAGCTGTAATCTGCATCACTAAACCCCCTCGGCTGTGAGAAAGCATGTCAAAGCCCAGAGCACATCTTGGGGACCCTGGGAGTGGCACCGTGCCCTTGGAAAGTTTTTGGCAGCAGGGACCCTGTCCCCTAGGAACAAAAGGCCCTATGCGGCTCCCGCAGACGTCTTGAGGCTTCTATAGCTCCGTTTGGCAAGTGGCCAGGAGGCACTGGGCCCATCCATGAGCCAGAGAGGCCGTCCGTCAGGAGGGGGCAGACGGCAGGAGAGAGCTGGGCTCAGAGTCTGAAGATGTGGACTCAGGTACAAGTCTACCACTTGCCATCCACATGGCTTTCAGTGTGTCTGCTTCCTCATCTGTGAAATGGGGAGAATGCCCTTGCCCGAGTGTCACAGGGGTGGACGGGGAAACCTTACATTAGCTCCCCCTAGCAGTCATCAGGGGCTGGAGATGCCCATGTCCAGGCTGCAGTGGCCCTGTGATCCTTCTGGCCAGGGGCTGGGGTGGGGGACAGCCGCCCTCGTCCCCCACTCCTGTGACAGGAGAAGCCCACCTAGGCCTCAAGGGTACAGGAACTCAAAACACGCCAGTCACAACAGCAATTTAACCTTTTACTAAATCAATTCACACAAATTCCAAATTGCAAATATAATTAAGGACCAGATTCTGTTCTGCCTTTTAAATCTTTCATTTTCAAATCCATCATTAAGACAAAGAGTAAACAAAAATTAAGTCTGCTGCAAATTCATGATCTTTTGTCTTGAGGAAAAAAAGGAACGTTATAGTAAAAAGAACGCCACTGGGTGTACGATAAAGCACCACGACACACGGTTACAAAACAGGCTTCCCAGATTCAGCCACACGGAGAAGACACTGGTCTCCCCGCTGCTCTGCGTCAAGCAGGATTTCATTAAAATAAAACTATAAAATCTCCTAGGTTACACTAAAGTCAGACACGGTCTGGAACACAGTGCTTAACAACAGTAATGCCAACTATCAGTGCTAACGTAAAAACATTTTAGAAGGTCAAAAACAATTAAACTGGAAACCAAAACCTTATTTTCCCTAGATGAGCAAAACTGGAAATGAAAGGGTTCCGCCTCCCAACAGGAGTGAAGGGGATTTTTTTTTCTCTCTCTCTTTCAGGTTGGAGGCGGGGGTACGGCACAGGCTGGTTCTGTGGCTCTTCAGCCTAGTTGGCGTCCAGCTTGGCCATTTCCTGTACGTAGATGCCTATACTCTCGCTGTCAAAGAGCACGAAATACACTGTTTTGATGGACGAGGACATCGTTGACACGAAGTAACTGGAGATGGCCTTCAGGATCAGCTGAGCTGCCGTCTGCTTTGGAAAACCGTTCCTGCAGGAGAGAAGAGAGCTCAGCAACCAGGAGGCCACCTTGGCCGTGGGCCTGCCGGCCGCTCTCCCTCCCAGGGGCCCTCAGGGCCGTGTGCTGTGCTTCACCCCGGGACACCTCAGTGCCCGCACAGGGCGCAAGGTCCTCAGGCTGCTCACATACGGGCATGGGAAGGGCCAGCGCCTGCCACACGGGAAGGACAGGTGGGCAGAGAACTATGTGCCAAGAGGTTTTCTGAAAGTAGCCAGCACATGTGTGGGATGTGAGTTTCCCGCGTCGGGTCTCCCAAGGGTAGTGTGAGTTCCCATATTTCTGCTCCAAGCATCACTGTGACTAGGACAGGGCTTGATTACCTGCCCATGGGACAGCTGGAGGCTGGAGCTTCTCCAGGAGAGGACTGGGGCTCAGCCACATGGGAAGGAGAGTGAAACCCTTCACATGGGCCTTCGACTTGATAGGTGCTGGGGCTGCTGGCCCAGAGTGCATCCTGGGACACACCAGGTTGCATCACCCATAGGCCACGGTGTGGGGGGCTGGGGGAGCAGGGACAACTCCCGGCCCAGCGGGCTCTTTATCTCAGGAGACAGCATTCATATCTTGAGGCCAGAAGGCTGTGAATTCACACGTACTTCCACATAAGATAAAAGGTGGGAATTTGGAAGTAGGGGCTCAAAACTCCAGCAATAATCTGAAAGGAGGCCCAAGGGGCCTGGGGCTGTTCCTGGTCCCCAGCGCAGGTGTGGGACACAGGGAACGCAGAACGGGCAGGAACACAGCAGCTTCCCCTGTCTGGCAGAAGGGACATGGGGTTTGGACCCGGGGGCCCTGGATTCAGATCCCTTTCTGACCCCGGGGTACAGTTAAGGATCATCAGGTGTGAGGCTGAGGCCAGCTTTTCACTTTTTTTTTTTTTTTTTTTTTTATCATTGGCAGCACTCCAGCGTTCCCGAGGCCCGAGTCGATGGACTGTGGGTATCCTAAACGTTGGATCAGCCTGCCGGCTTAGGCTGCACCCCTCCTTCCGATGGGGTACTTGCCGCTAGGTGAGAGGTTTTCCAATGTGTAAGGTGGGGGCTTTCCTAGAACGTGCCGAGCCTAGCTCAACTGAGTGACTGTGAGTCTTGAACTCTCTCAGCTGGCCCCTCTGGAGAGCCGCGCTTACTGTCTGGTTGTCCGTACCAAGCACATCATAGGGCCACAGGGCAAAACCACTCTCATGACTTGGTTTCCATGAAACAGGGCCTCACCCACCTGGAAGACGGAGCCCTAGTACTTGGGGATGCTTTGGATGCAAAGCACATTCTTAGCAGACAAGGAGCCTCACCCTGGGCACATTCCCAGCCTGTGCCGAGGGGCCTCTGGGGGACAGTGGGGTGTGAGCGATCCTTCACATAGGCGGTGGGTCTTCAGCCACACAGTGCCCTCCAGGGCAGCCAGGACACACGGGACAGCCCGTGAAGAGCGGAATTCGGAGGCTGAATGAAAAGCTGCACAGGTGTACCAGCTGAAGGAAGGGGGCGCCTGGCCCTGACTCCCCTGGAGCAGCCCCCAGGCACTCTACCAGCAGGGCAGGAAGGGTGCCCAGTGGGTGGGGTGGGACCGAGGGTGGTGGGGACCATGCTGAACAAAGGGTTTTTGCTGGAAGTGGGGAGAACTGGGGACCCACAAGGCAAGTCATTCACCCTCCCACCCTATCCCCTCTCAGATCTGCAAGCTCATTCGGGGAAGAAGCTGTTCTCACCACACCTGACAGAGTTGCCCTGATGATGTTCACAGGATGGGCGGTCTGGAGCAAGACACACGTTGGCAAGTACTCAATCAGAACTCGACTTTCCTTTTTGGGGCATGTGTACACATGCGTGTTGTGGGAAGTGCAACTCACACCCACTGTGGGTGCCTGATCGTGGAGAGGCTGCCTTCACCCAGCCCCAGTCCTGTGAGCGGGACCAGGGCCAGCTTTTGGGGAGGGTTATGCTGTTTCAGGGCCATGGGGGTGGTGACTGGAATAAGGGACCCTTTTAAGTGTCTCACAAAGAGCCAATATTTATATTCCTGCTGTAAACTCAGCTGCTGCCCAGAGGATTTGTCAGATTATGGCCTCTAACTTCACCCCTGGGAGAAAAGCCAGTGGCCAGATCTCCAGGAGTTCTGGGAGCTCCTGGAAGCCGCGGCAGGACAGGGAGCCTTTCATACCCACGTCAAGATCACGGAGGGCTTATCCAGATGCAGGGCTGGGCTCTGCCCAGGGGGTCGAATTGTGCAGGTCTAGGGAACGTCCTTTGAGAACCAGTGTTCTAGATGGAGCCAGCAAGGAGTTTTTAATCTGAGCTCACAGGGTGGGCCCCAAGGCTAAGAACCTAGAAGTGAGGCAGAAAAGATGGGGATCAAAGACTTTAGGCCTGTAGTCTCCAGACCTGCCGGCCCTAATGTTAATAGAGCATGGGCTCGTCTCCCCTTTCAAGGTTGTTGTTGGGTACAAGTGAATTTCATTCGTTTTCGGGAAAACCTCTGTTGACAAACCCATCCCTCTGTCGTAGGCTCTCAGGGCCTAAAGAAGAAACATAGCCACCCGACTGTAGCTGCTCTGGACCACCCAAGCAGCCAGGAAGGACTGGGCAAGGTGATCGCTCTCTTTATGTCTTCAGGGCTCCAGAATGTTTTCTCATAGCCATGGTTAGAGGTGTTTGTAGCAAAATGGACCACAGCAGCATGTGCTCTCAGGGGAGTGCTTTATGTGCCACACCCGGAGCCCTTAAGTCAGGGGCAGCTGGGTGGCCACCGATGCCTGGGCGGGCAGAGCAGCAGGGCAGTGAGGGGCTCAGGCCCTAGAGCCGCACAGGACTAGCGTCCAGGCCCCGCCTCTGTGTCTCGTCTGCCATCCAGGGAACTGGGGTAGGTCAGCGTGGCACCTACTATCGCTGGAGGCTGGGAGTGTTGAACAGGACAATGTGCAGAATGTCCTCAACCGGTAAAGTCATCCGTAGAGCAGGCAGTCTGGCAGCGTCTTTCTAGAGGCTCATGTGGTGCACTACAGTCTTCTGCTCAGGCCCGGTGACACCTGTTGCCACTGCCTGTTTTCTGTGCTGACAATGTCAGCCTCAGGCCCCCAGAAAGCCATCGGGGTCTGCTATGGCCAGTCAGCCGTGACTGCTGGCAAGCACAGTGCCCCCGTGCTATGGGAGGCAGCTTCAGGGGCACCACTGGCCTCTGGGGGCTCGCTCACCTCCCGGCTTCCTGGCTGGGGTCCCTGCTGGTTCCTGCCCTGTAGCTGCCCCCAGTGGCCATCCCTGCTCGGCCAAGTCACTGGGCCCTCCTCCCCGCCCCCCCCCGACTCAGGCATGCTGATCCTGTGACAGTCCCTTTGTCTGCCTTCTGAAGAAGACCAGATGCCCCCTTCCCCAAAGCACAGTAGAGCAAGAGGGGACAGGGGCTTCCCTTGTAGTGTTAGATGCGTGTTTGAAGCCCAGCTGCCCTGGGGCGGGGGCGTTAACCTCTAAGCATGAATTTCCTGGACTTGGGTACACGGGATGCCACTACCAAGGATGCTGCTGCCCCCAAGGTGGTGCCCCCTCATATTCCCATGTGAGCGCCCCTAGGTCTGCTAGGGGCTGCAGTTACAACACATGCCTTAAATTACTCTGCAGGCAAGTGTCTTAGCCTCTGACCTTTTGGTCCTGAGCCGATTAGGAACTTCCCTGAAGTCCTTTCAGCTGTCCGAACAGCCTTTCCCCAGTGTCTGCAGCCTCAGTTTCTCTCTAGACTAGGGCAAGGGCACCACATGGGCTGTCGTTCCCTTTGGGTCTGCCTGCTTAGAGATGGTTAGGGGTACATCGGGGTTGTCTGTCCTTCCATTCCCCTGGACCGCAGGAGTTCTGGGTTCATAAGCGGCACGTCACAGACGAGATCATCATGCCTCCAGCCCTGTCGGGCCCCCACCTCCGCTGGGGCATGGCCAGGCATCCCTGTTATCGGCGAGCACACCTGCAGGGCTGGCCACAACCGGCACGCAGACTCTCAGCCAGGAGCCATGTGGCCCAGGCCAGTCAGGGGCACAGGAGGATCCTGGGGGACATGCTACATCCTGGGGGCTGGTAAAGTCCAGGCAGGGTTTTTCGGGAGGAGACAGACTGGCAGCTTGCCTTGGAAGGTGGAGGAGGATTAAAGGCAGATGCTACATGGACTCTGGTTGTGGTGCGGGCCAGGTCCACCTGTTGGTCTTGGTGGTTTGGAAGTGGGTAGGGTACATGTCACGAAAGGCCCGGGGATGTTAGGAAAGCGTGTGGTCATCTTTTCTGTTAGGATTAGGTTTCCCTCTCATGGTGCCACTGGGCCTTTCCATCTTCTCATGTTCTGTGTGGCTTTGAGGAAGTGCCTGTGTCAAGCTGCCCCACCTGAAGGCCACTCGTTCCAGAAACAGAGACCAGGCCAGCAGCTGGGAGCAGTGGGCTCCAAATCCAGAGGGGATGGCAGGAGGGGCTGGGAGCACAGCCCACACGTGGTCTGTAACCTTCTCTCCAGTTCTCTCTGGTTTTAGGCTAGTAGGCAATTCTCCCCATTTGGTTTGGTTTCTTCCTTTCTCTCTCTTGTAAGGCCCATTCCTGGGGTGGAGGGAGGGTGGCAGCTAGGCCCAGGCAGGTCAGGGACTTCCCAGGTGGGGTTTCCAAGCTTCCCTGAAATCTACTCCTATACTGGGTGCTCAGGCAGCAGGACCATCCTCTGGGGGACAGCAGACCGGGTCTGCCGAGGAAGCGGCTCCAGGCATCCCATGTCACCAGCAGCCAAGCCATGGACTTGCCCTGAAACTCGGGCTCTCCCCAGTCTAAGCCGTGTCACCTCAGGTGAGCCAGTTAACCCCTCTCAACTTCCTTTGTTTTGTTTTCTTCGAGTGGAATTAATGACAGTGCTCACCCTGCAGGGTTGCTGTGAGATAATGCAGATCAAGGGTTGAGCACAAGACCCGGGGAGACTCCACGAAGACCCATAAATGGTAGCTTGAAAAAAACCAAACTGGCCTTTAAAAAGCTCATAAATCAACAGAGTTTAATCAAAGCCCCAAACTACCTATTCCCTCTCTCCCATCCCTCCAGAGAGGGGTCGCCGCCAGTCACACAGAGCTGAAAGTGGGGGTACCCATAAACGTTGTGACCACAGTGCCCAAGGACAGTCTCCCAAGGTCAGGGTCTGGCCTCCGTGGGGCTTTACAGTTGGCCCGGGGGTCTACGCGCTGCAGGGAGAGGGTGTAGGGGTAGGATGGCCCTCCACAGGCTGGGCCTTGGCTGAGAGAAAGTGACCCCACTGCTCCTTGCCAACATGTTTGCATTTCTATTATTTTCATTCCAACCTTTTATGCTGGAGACACTGGATGCCACAAACGAGCTGTTTTATTTCCCCTCCTAAAACCCACTGTGATTTACAGGCCGGCTCTGGTGTAATCCTAATCTTTGCTCATGAAAGAGAGGGCAGCTGTTTACATGGCTCTATGGGGCAAGGTCTGCCTGGCAGATGTGGGGCCGCTGGCGGTACACATGTATTGGCCTTTGGCATTCTGCCCTCTTAAAAGCTTTCAATTGATTGTTTTTAAAAACTTCTTACTCCATGAAAAATGTAGAGAATTACTTTTATGCTTCAATTAAAAGCTTCCCAATAGCCATATGAAAGAATATGAAATTATTACCTCCAATAAAGGCTTCTATTGCTTCTTTCTTCGGAAGCACCTTTCATCAGAGTAGATCAAAGTGCATCTGAAGCACTAATTGAGCCTCCGGACCATCTGGGGGGAAGGGTCGTCCCCAGAGCCTTGCTAGCTTAGCTGATAAGGCAGGCCAGGGCCAGAGAGGCTAACTCATTCAGAAAAGGTCACACGGCAGCAAAGTGCTGAAGAACAGACCTTCTAAGGGAGGTGGGAGAAGCAGGAAGCTGTCAAAAATGGTTTGGAATCGACCCTGGCACCCATTACACAGCTCCCTAGTTCTGGGGAAAGTTCAAGCTACAGGGGGGGCGTGCTGACCACCTAAGGATGGTGGCTTGTGTCTATACCAGCTGCTCTGACAGTCAAGGGCTTTCAATGGTCTCTCTCTTTTAGCTTTTAAGAGACATTTAAATGATGTTTCAAAGTGATGTTCAACACAGGCTCTTGGCAAAAGAGAACAGGATGAAGCAGCACAGTGACTGCAAATGTAGACGGCACCCCAAACCAAAACGTGTCATCACATACCTCTGGACACTTCTCACTTGGGCAGTAAAGTGGCACTCAGCATACAGGGCATGCATGAGCAGTCACTTGTGCCCTGAGGGCCCCTCTCTACTCACACACACTGCGGGAACATGGCAGCTTGGGCAGACCTCCTGGTGCCATGTGACAGGAAGCCTGCCCAAGGCTAGCTTGATCACTTGAGATGTGGAACCCCAGTGATGGCAGCGTTCAGGGAGGCACCATTACAATGGTTGCCCACGATGGAGAGGGCAAGCTCCACTCTTTCTTCCTTGTGGGTTTGGAGGGGAAGTGCTGTGAAAAGAGGCAGGCTCTATAAACACAAGGTGGTTGAGGATGGTCACTCAGGCTTGCCTCACCCTATGTGGCCTGCAGTGTCAAAGGAAGCTGGTGTATTGCAGCCACACAGCCCTGCCTGGGCACTGGGAGGATCCAACAGCAGAGACCCAAGTGGGCGGGCAGGCTGGACAGGACGTCCCAGGTGCAGCCATGGCCAATACACAGCCCTGGGTTATGGCCCTCTGGGGCCCAGCATGTACACGGCTGTAGCCTCTGCTGGCCGGTGTCCCTTCCCTTTGGT